ATATTACAAAGAGTGGATAAGGAATCCACAATTTGTGAATGAACAATTAAAAACAAGTACAACTCCAAAATTAAGAGCCTAAAAAATTAAGACATTGACATATCACCTGCCATATCATTTGGTAACTAAAATTTGGAAAAGGTTATGCTGACTCTAGTATTATTGTTACTTTAAATGGGAAAGTCCAGCATTTCAAGGTATCTCAGTCAAAAGAGAAAGGAAATCTGACAAGAAACTATTAATCCTTCTGTGTTATACATATTGCAGGCACGCACACATACAGAGAATGATCATGACTGACAAAATTATGTACACAAGGAAAGGCTTGCCAACCTTCAGGGTTGTATTCAAGTTATTCCTTGCATTGCTAAGGAGCTTTATCTTATCATGGTTTTCAATCAATGTTTGGCATTCTTGACATAGCCTGATGACAAGGAAATCATAACCACCAAAAATTATGAACAGATCAATGCTGTGCAATTGCTTATGCATAGCAAGTAACATACAAAAATAATCTCCTTTAAATCATAAAGCCTCTGGAATTTCCATAAACAACATACTTTTCAATAGAAATGAAGTTTTCACGGAGTTGGTTTATTGATTTTTGAGATAAGGACAGGGATTCCAGCCCAGCTTGTGCTTGTTCAACCTGCATGCAAAGCACTACCTCGTAAGACACTTGATATTAATTAAAGAGCCCACCTTTCTCAACTCCATAAATGTATCATATACGACTCAACACACTATCAATAAGAAACTTTTAATCATGACCAACGAAATATGGATTAAAGAAGTTTGTGCATGTACCTGCTCGGCAACCATAGTGCTAAGTTGTGCATCATTAGCCTGACAATAAAGAAAAATAGCAGCTTTCAAAAGGCAAGTTGATTATAAAAGAACTTCAATATTGCCAAAGGTAATGCCACTAATCAAAGAATGTGTTTGCATGTCTGTGTGTGTGTATCATTATCAGACTATCATGTGTGGCACTTCAGCGGAAGCAGCTACCAGAAACAAAATTAATGCCGACAGCACCAACTGACCACCACTTATTTGAAAACATAAATTACCTAAAACTTGAACCCCAATATGCTACGGTTCACATTTAATGCATGAACTGCTTTATCAATATTAACTTTATTTCAATTCAACTACCATGCCATGAATTGGTTAACTTGATCTTGTGCTTTAAAATTCAACGTAAAAATTTTTATTATGTAAAATCTACTGCAGAAATTGAAGAGATATATCATATCATGAAAATAACTTGTTGATTTTAATCATTTAAAATCATCTTTGGCCATCTCCTAAAAATGCAACATATATTGCATGAGATGATATTCATCCTTTCCTCTACTTCTAATGCCATTGCTCTAGAGATCTTTATCCATGGTGTCCCAGCCAGTCCCACTGAACCACAACTCTACTTTTCCTACTAAAGACATTGTAGACGTTGCAATTTCCGTGCAACTAAAACCATCATAAACAACCCTTAAAAACACTGGCTTAGATAGCTTTTATGTTATGTCTCACAACCATCCCAATCTGAAAACCACTGTTCTTTTCTCCCTACTCAACACATTATAAATCTAGCACATCAATCCAACAATCAGTAAACCAAGATTACCAAACACACAAACTATTCACACCACCAATCAGTGCTTACTAGAGAAACGAATTTAGGTCAACAATTGTTACTGCACAATCAAATTAAAGAACAATAGACTCCAATTACAAAGTTCATCAAAACTCTAATTAGAGACAGCAATATTATTCTTGCCCGACTATTCATATTCAAAAAACATAGCCAAATAGATAGAATTGTAAGACATATTTAGAGTTTTCATCTCAAAATGGAAATATACTTTTTTAAAACAAAACAAGAGGGGACCTGTTGGCGAGCAATGTAATCGGCCTTGATGGAAGCTATGGACTGAAGGAGTTCGGGAAGAGGCAAGAGCTTGGCAACCTCACGAACCGCTGATTCCTTGGCTTCCACACCAAGATCCTCCACCATCATCTTCTTCTTCTTCTACTTTCCACAATTTCAATTACTCACAGATTAAAAACCCTAATTAAAATTGCCCCTATACAAAGCCTAAATTAGGCTACCCAAAGCCCAGTTCAGGTGAGACAGAGGAGAAGAACAATTAATGAGACGAAAGGGCGATACAACAGTCTGGGTTTGACCCTTTGACTCAGAGCTTGGAGAAGCGAAGGAGTTGTGGCTGAGACGAAAGAGAGAGAGAAGAAAAAGAAGAAAAGAAAACTGTTGCAGAAGAAATGAGAGACGAGAAGCGAGATGCGGCCGGCTGGCTCAGATGAAAGAGATAGAAGACGAAAAAT